CGCTATGCAGTTCAGGCTGGCCTTGAGCTCACTTTGTAGCCCAGGCTGGTCTCGAACTTGCAGCAATCTTCCTGCCTCAGCCTCCCAAGTGCTGGGATTACAGGCGTGTGCCACCACGCCTGGTTTCATCTTTTTCATTTCTATTATCTCCCAGATACTGCAAATTCTATCTTCAAAATGTTTTCATATCTAATTACTGCTGCCAGCACTGTCCCAACCGCTGTCATCTTGTGCCTGTACAGCTGTAACAGTTTCCTATCAGGTTTCCCTGCCGTCACCCTTCTCTCTCCTTCAGTCTTCTTCATGCAGAGCCAAACTGATGTTTGAAAAACAGAAATTACACCTCAAGATAAACACATAGAAAGAAATCACACCTCAGCTTTTAGAACTGCACTTAAAACTAAAATCCCTAAGTCGGGCATGGTGGTGCAGGCCTGCAATCCCAGCACTCAGGAGGCTAAGGCTGGAGGATTGCCATGAGTTTGGGGCCAGCCTGGGCTACACAGCAAGACCCTGTCTCAAATAAGATAAAATAAAATAAATTTTTTAAAAAAGAAGTACAATCCTTAAGAGCTGCACAAAGCCAAGGTACCAGCCAGGCACAGTGACACATGCTTGTAATCTCAGCAACTCAGGAACTGAGGTAGGAGGATCACAAATTCAAACCCAGCTTGGGCAACTTAGTGACTTAGTGAGACCCTGTCTCAAAGGAAGAAAATAAAAATGGCCACGCATAGAATTACATGTGAAGGCCTTGGATTCAGTCACCAATACTCGGTGGGAAAAAAAAGAAAAGAATCTCAGTCCTGTGCACTCAGGCACTTGTTTCTTGTTGGTGTTTTCTGAGCCTGCACATAGTGCATGTGGATGGACGGGCAATGAAAGAAGGAAGGAAGGATTACAAAAGTGAAACAGCAAGTAAACAAAAGAAGAAGCTGCGCCTGAGTGATGTCTTGGCAGTCTTCCAGCAGAGAGGACCCTGAGGTCCGAATCCTCAGCCACTTTGAGGATCAGGTCTGAGGCCAGGGTGGAGCCTGGAATTCTCCTGGCACAGGCAGCCATTGAGAGTGGAACAGGACCTAGACAAGGCCACAGTGCCCCCTGGTGGTCAGGACTCCAGAGTGAGGCCTCTAGAATCTCCAAGGATTTTTCTCTCTCACAGTCTGGTTTGAATATTACAGAAGTAAAACAAAGACGCTTAGATTAGGGGTGAAGGAGAAGATGCCAGAGAGGGTCTTAGTTTTGGCCATGACCCTAACCCTGTGAGTAATCTCCAGTGTATCGTGGTGGTGCATGTAATCCCAGCCTTCGGGAGGCTGAGGCAACAGGGTTGCTGTGAGTTCAAAGCCAACCTGGCCCGCATTGTGAGTTCAAGGCCAGGCTGAACTACACAGCAAGACTCTGTCTCAACCCCTGACCCCAATAAAAAACAAGGCCTAGGCTTGGACTTGCCACTGTGGAAAAGAGAGGTCCCTCCTGCAGTAACCACCCTGGCTGTGAGCCTCTTGACCTAAGCTTGTTCCATGGCTGCCTGATTACTCATGGAAAAATGTTACCTATCTGGAAGTGATTTCATGAGCAGTGCCAAAATCTACATCCACATTGCTCCAACATCCTCTTGGGCTTTGTCCTGTGTGGCCATATATACCCAGCATGGAATGCACCTCCTGCAACCTTCTTTTACCCATTACATTTAGAAATGTCTTTTTTTTTTTTTTTTTCGTATATTGGAGATTGAACCCAGAGCCTCGTTCATGTTTGAAAACTGCTGTACTACTGAACTACACCCCAAGACCTGCAGATGCCTTTTTAAAAAAAATACAGATTTCTTTTATTTTCTTTCCCCCTTCCTTCTTCCCTTCCTTCCTTCCTTCCTTCCTTCCTTCCTTCCTTCCTTCCTTCCTTTTCTTTCTTTCCTCTGAGACAGAGTCTTGCTGTATAGTTCAGATTGACTTTGAACACCCTGTGTAGCCCAGCCTGGCCTCTGACTTGCAGTCCTTCTGCCTCAGCCTCCCAAGTGCTGGGATTATAGGCACATGTCGATACTAAATCCAGCTCTTCAAGTGAATTCTTAAATTTGAAGCTCAGGGAAGAGGTCTGCACTATACATATACCTTTGGAAGTTATCTTCACTCAGAGGACCTATGAAATCTGGATACATGATTGGCTTTCAGTAGTTCTCAACTGGATATGCATACTACAGTCATCCAGAAAGGGAAAAATCAAACCCTGATGCCCCAGCCCCATGCAGCCAGGCTAATGCAATCAGAGTCCTTCAGTGTGGGCCTACATGAGCATTTTTTGAGGGCTTCTGGGTGGTTCCACATATAGCCAGGTGTTAGCTACACCATATCTAAGAGTAGAACAAGGGGAAGAGTGCTAACAGAGAAGACAGCAAAAGGCTGGGTGGTGAGCCGTACCTCCGTGGTACAGCATTTATCTAGAGTGTGTCCTGGGTTCCAGCCCCGTGACTGAAAAAAGAAAAAAGAGGCTGGGAAGGAGAAACCATGTGATAGGAAGATAGGAGGAAAACCCAGTGAAGAGCAGGTGCCTCAGGGGTACGGAATGCTGCTGAGAAGCCCAGGGAGTGGCGGGCAATTTTGCTTGGCAAAGCAAGTTGGAAGAACTGTGAAATGGAGTGGTGGGGCACAGGGGAGGACCAGAGATAGTTAAAGGGAAAATGGGAGGTGAAAAGGGGAAATGAGAGTAATCAACGAGTTTCACTGTGAATCAGAACAGACAAATGGAGGGAGCTGAAGTGAATGGAGGCACGCGGCATCATGCCTGGCAGATTTCTTTTAAGATGTGGAATTACATATCATGTTGTGTGTGGCTGGAAATGATGATGATAATAGCATGCGTGGGTCCAGAAGAGGAAGGGGACATCTGGGGTGGCCAGGCTTTGAGGAGGTGAGAAGAGCTGGGGTCAAAGTATAAGTTAGGGACCCTTCTTCCACCAGATGGGTGCAAATGCTGGCACCTTTGTAGGTAGTGGCGGCAGATTAAAGATGGGAAAAGTTCCCTTCTGTTGACTGCTTTTGGCTACATCATCTGTGAGGTGAGAGTGGGTGGGGACGGAGAGGAGAGGGTTTGAAGGTCTTGGGAGAGAAGAGCTGTCTCTGTGGACATGGGAGCTGTGGGCAGTGTGGAGAGCCTGCCCTTCTAAAGGTTGCAATCCCATTGTGCAAGGGGACACAAGCAGCCACCTGGTGTGAACTCGTCTGGCCGTGGGCAGGTGTCACAACAGGCATGGAGGAGAGCTGAGTTCACCTGGGGCAGGAGGGCCTTTGCCAGTCAAATAAAGTGAAAGGAGACAGGAGACTGAAGAGCAGCTCTGTGAATGGAGCACAGAACCAAAACGGGATGAGGACGAAAAGTGGACAGTGAGGAAAAGATCACCCTAGGTCGATGCGATGTGGCTGGAGAGGAAGTGCTGACTATCCCGGAGGAAGTCAGCTGGGAGGAGAGGAAGTGGCTGGGGAGGATACTGGGAATAAAATCTGTGAGTCACTGTCATAAAGACCAGGACAGGGTAAGGGTGTGGCAGCTGAGACACAATTGAAGTCAAATGACCAAGAGGGTCGATCTTTGGAGACATGATCCCATTGTTGGCCTGGATGGCCACCAGAATGGTGGCAAGAGTAGCAGAGAAGAGGTAAAAGTAGGCAATAAAGTCTTCAAGAAGCTTGGTTATCTCTCTCTGGAAGGTCTGCTCCTTGAGAATAGGACTGAGGCTGTCTTTAATATAGCTGTGTCCTCAAGTGCCTGGCATGGGACAGGTACCCATAAAACTCTAATGAAGGAATAGATCTAATATGTAATTTGATTTTTTTTTTCAGTGCTAGGTATCAAACCTAAGGTCCTTGGTGCACACCTGTACTGCCAGCACTTGGGAGGCTGAGGCAGGAGGATCACTGTGAGTTCAAGGCCAGCCTGGGCTACAGAGTGAGTTGACAAAAAAAAGTGAGTTGATGATCAGCCCGAACTGTATAGCAAAACCTGTCTCAAAAAAACAAAAACAAAAACAAAGTAGTGCTGGGCGTGGTGGTGCACACCTGTAATCCCAGCACTTGAGAGGCCAAGGCAGGAGGATCATTGCAAGTTCAAGACCAGCCTGGGCTACAAAGTGAGCTCAAGGCCAGTCTGAACTGCATATTGAGACCCCATGTCAAAAAGACAAAAAGCAAAACAAAACAAAACAAACCAAAAACCTAAGGTCTTGTGCATGCTCAGCACTAAGCTACACTCTTAAGTCTCATGTAATTTGGTGTTTGTCCTTTGCAGTTGAGAAAATGAAGCCTGAGTTTCCCCAGAAGTGTCTGTAAATTGTTTGGCATTTTTGAAATTCCTTCTGCCTGCTCCTCACCATCCACCAGCCTCCCTGCCTCCTCCCACCTCTGCCCTCACTATATCCTCCTGGCTTGGGTGTTTTGGGCTCTAGTGTTCTTTTTTTTTTTTTTTTTTTTTTTTTTT